ATTGAGCGATTCAAAATGGACATTACCAAATCTGGTGGGACAAACATTCAGAGGCAGTCCTTAGATGATTGCACACTGGATTTGAGGCTCTAGGCACAGGAAGTACACTGATTTTACAGGAGGAAATCAAGGCAATTGGTATGTTTTCATGGTACTGTCTAGGCACAATTAACATGGTTAGATGTTCCTTGCTAAATGGCAAATCTACAATTTTGTGTTCCAGGGGCAGACTGACCATTTGGAAACTCGGGCACTGCCCGAGGGCCCGGGGTCAGTAGGGGGCCCATGAGATGCCCCTGGTACCTTTTTTTCATAGGCTTTTTTGAGTTTGGGCAAGGACACGGGCCCCATGATCCCCTATTGCCTGGGGGCCCCATGAGTTGTCAGTTCGCCCCTCGTTAGGACCATTTTATTTGATATGGTTTGTGACTGACTACAGCTTTCCTCTCTACATTTGGCTGTACTGCTAGTTACATCCCGGTGATCGGTCAGACGTTTCTGTTTTCATGTATAAACGCAGACCAGTGTGTTCCCTAGTTGCAGCATCACCCCCTCTCTGATCACCCTGTAGTCTCAGCCATGCAATGTGCATTTTAGCATGAGTGGGTGGTCATTGGAATCCTGTAGCAGGCTGCAAATATCAAGGAGCACTGTAAAAAGTCGTCTGAATCTAGCCACCAGGGATTATATAAAACCAAGTTTCTGGGTTTTCTTTTTTGAGTGGGGTTATACCTTCCCTGGTCAGTATTAGTTCACTGGCTTGTGTGTGTTGTGTGTGTGTGTTGGCTTTTTGCACAGAGGGTCGTTCTAACTCTGCACTGTTCGTAACTTGCTTCCAGCTCTCTTCTGGCTGTAGGTTCCATTCCAGTGCTAGATTATAACTGGTTGGGGGGTGCATGTGGCAGGTACTGTCCTGTCATTTCCCCAAGAGACCAGGGACATAATTTGTTTGAAGTGATAGTCTTAAGCTGGCCATAGGTGGATGTTTTTTTTTTTTTTTTTTTTTTTTTTTAAGATTAGTCAGCCAGCTGATCAAAAACACCCGAACAGATTCCCCCCCATTGACACATTTGAGGTGAGTGGGGGAATCCCCCCCACTGCACTATTGAAAACATGCCAACAGTCCCGCAACATGCAAAACAAAGTGTGATAGGTTTCGTTTTGAATGGCACTCCAACGCATCTAACTAGTGTAATCGTACGTTTTAGCCCGGGTTCACATTGATGTGGTGCGGCACATCACATGTGATTCACACAGGAAACCGCACTTATTCCTGTGCAAGCTGCATGCAACTTCATTTTGTATGGCTCAGATTGCACCACATCCGCACCAAAATAATGCAGGACCCCCTTTTTTTTTTTTTTTTTTTTTTTTTTTTTTTTTTTTTTTTTTTTTTCTTTTTTCATCCTCACCAGAATCTGATCACATGGGTATTCACACTCATGCGATCAGATTCTGCACATCGCACCGCACTTTGCGAACTGTTTTTGGGGTGTCATTAACACACCCACAGAGGTTTGCATGAACGGGGTGCGATCATGATGTGGTGCGGAAATCGCACTGAAACCAGTTCGAAGTTCGCACCGCATCAGTGTGAACCCGGGCTTGGTCTTCTCGAATATACAATTCCTTTTTGGCAGAGTTGCCTTTCAGCAACATACCGGTACATGAAGGACCAAGTTTCAAGTTTCCATGCGCTAATGAAACATAACACTGTTTGACTATCTGACTGGACCTACCTTATTGTAGGTGAGTGTACCTGGTGGAAGCCATCTTTGTTCATTAAATATGCAAGTTTGTGTGTTTTGCTTGGCAGCTCTGTGTGTTGGTTGTGACTTTGGGCTTGTGAATGGGAATAAGCAGTATGTTTTCAGGTGAGTTCCGCTTGCATCAGTTCAAGAGGTATGTTTCTAACTGCCTTGTCATCCGTCTTACCTGCGTTCAACCTTATGATGAGCTGCATCAGCCTAGCTATGTATTACTTACTACATGTTTTAAATAAATGTTAGTAAAATACAATTTGTATTATATGTATATTATATAATAATTACAATTTGTAATTTTACAAAATAAAGGGAGATAGTACAGCTACAATGAGGTTCAATACAAGGGGGTTAAGGTTTTTTTTTTTTTTTTGTTTTGCCTTGTATAGGGAGGTGAGCAGTTCAGATGCCGTTAACCACTTGCTGACTGCAGATAGCCGAATGATGGCTTCACCGCGGCCGGCCAGTTCTTGGAGGACGTCATATAACATCCTCCCAGAACGATCCCTTCTGCGCCCCCCGACGATATCTGTGATCGCTGTCCTATGGACACAGCTGATCATGTGATGTGGTAAAAGGCCAATCACAGTGGTCTTTTAAAACGTGATCAGCTGTGTCCAATGACACAGCAGATCACCAGTAAATACAGTTGCCAGTTATCGGCTGCACTATCTTCACACTGTCACAGCGTGAGGAAAGTACTGCCGATAACTGGCAATTGTTAGAGGATGGATCGACACTGATCATCAGGGCACTGATGATCAGTGCCCAGCAGTGCCCACCCACCTGTGCCCAAAAGTGCCGCCGGTCAGTGCCCATCGTTGCATATCAGTGCCGCCAGTCAGCGCCCATCATTGTTGCATATCAGTGCCAGCTCATCAGTGCCGCCTATCCATGCCCATCAGTGCAGCCTCAATGCACATCAATGATGGAGGAAAATTACCTGTTTGCAAAATGTTATAATAGCAACAAAGAGAAACTTTTTTTTTTTTTTTTTTTTCGAAATTTTTGCTTTTTTTTTTTTTTTTTTTTTATATAGCACAAAAAATAAAACGCCCAGCGGCGAGTAAATACCACCAAATGAAAGCTCTATTTTTGTGAAAAAAATGATAAAATATTCATATGGGTACAGTGTTGCATGACCACACAATTGTCATTCAAAGTGCAACAGCACTGAAAGCTGAAAATTGGCCTGGGCAGGCAGGGGGTATAAGTGCCTAGTAGGCAAGGAGTTAAAAAGCCTGTTGGTACAGGCCTGTAGTGTTTGTATCTGCTATGCAAGTCCCCAAGGCCCCCTGCACACAATGAGAATATCGGACAAATGATCATCTGTTTTTATTTTGCATGCTAGTCTCATGTTGAAAAGGAATAGATTACCGAAGTTATGAAAATTCTTGTAAAACAGAATACAACTTCGTGCGATGATGTAATGTATCCTTTTGTTTCTGAGCATGCACGGTCACTCGAGAGAGAGATATAGATATTTTTTTATTTTTTTATTTTTTTTTTTTTTTTTGGACAAATACTGTGCTGTTAAACGAAAATAGTTTTCTGGTATCGTGTGAGAAAAATGTTACATTTGTCCCTTTTGGATAATTTCGCATGAACTGCTGCGATAGGCTCTCAAAAGCTGCATGCTAGCGATTCGATTATCGGACGATCACTCCAAAGGTGGTATTTTTTGTCCAATTTTCTCATTGTGTGTATCCGCCATTAGTCAAGTCTGTGATGTTTAACAGTTTTATCATTGTGGTGGTTTTAATGAGTTTTCTACCAATCTGTAAGAATCTGGAACAATTTAACCGGTAAAACTCTTCTCCGTAAAGGGAATCCAGTTCTTCTGACCATATAAATTGCATCTTCTCGCACATCAAAGTTTTTCAGTTAGTTGCAAAGTGTGTGTTTGGTCTAAAATCTGTGGAGAGGGTAGTAGGGGTCAAATGGGTTTTCTCTTGGAACTGTTTTGCCCAGTTTATAACACCGGTCTTTGCATGTTTGAGGTCATGTTGATGTTTTAACACTCGATTCTCCATGACACTCATCTTTCCTCATAACTGTGTATTGTAGTTCTTTAACCACTTGACCTCCTGGGAAGATTTACCCCCCCCCCCCCCCCTTCCTGACCAGGACATTTTTTGCGATACAGCACTGCGTTTTTTTTTTTTTTTTTTTTAACTGACAATTGTGCAGTCATGTAATCTTGTGTCTGCAATTAAATTTATGTATTTTTTTTTTTTTTCCCCCACAATAGAGCTTTCTTTTGGTGTTTAATCACTTCTGGGTTTTTTATTTTTTGCACTATAAACAAAAAAATCTAAAATTAAAAAAAAATACTTTCCTTTCGGATATAAAACATTCCCAATAAAAGTTTTTTTGACAAATCAAATTGCGTCATAAATTTAGGCCAATATGTATTCTGCTACATATTTTTGGTTAAAAAAAAAAAAATTCCCAATAAGTGTATATTGATTGGCTTGCGTCAAAGTTATAGCGTCTATATACTGGATATTTTTTTTCTAATAGTAATTGTGTCAACCAGCAACTTATAGCGGGACTGTGATATGGCAACAGACAATCGGACACTCAGACTGGCACTTTGTGGGAACCAGTGTCATGAATACAGTGATCAGTGCTAAAAATATGCACTGACACTGCACTAATAACACTGGCTGGGAAGGGGTTAAACATCTAGAGTGATCAAGGGGGGGGGGGGTTAACTGTGTGCCTAGCTATGTGTAATGTTTACTGTATGTGCTGTTTTTACTAGGTCATGTGCTGGATTCTATTCCCTGCTTGCACGGAAAAAAAAAAAAATCCAGCTCATTGCTGCTGTCAGAACACAGCCCTGACTTGTTTACATAGGTAGAGCTGTGTTCTGTCAGTCTCCTAGATAATCAGCAGGTGCCGATGCTCATCCATTGGTCAGCACCCGCTGATTGGCATCTGCTTTGACCAAACACAGCAGAAGTGGCGTGCACCTGCGACCAGGAATTGTAGTCCCATTTATATACATGATTCTGCACAGCGCAGCTGCCCTGTAGCAGTGTATCTGTTACGGGGCAGTCGGCAAATGGTTTAAACTGCATGTGCGGTCAGAAATGGCAGCTACATATAGCCAGACACACACATGCATAGTGCTTCTCATTTTAGAAGATCACTTTTACTAGAAGAGGATGTTTACAGGATCTGATGTTCTGCTTTGGTTTTAATACTATCTTCCTGTTTATGTGCTTCTAGGCTTCATCATCCCGATCCATCCCTGTGCCCACTGCAAGCATCCTGGTACCCAAATCTGTAGGCACCAGAGTTCCATGTAACGTTGAAGGAATAAGCCCGGAACTCGAGAAAGTCTTCATTAAAGAATCTAGTGAAAAAGACGGAGTCAAGGTATCGTGTGTTCAGTTACAGGAACGTTGGTTGACGTTCCTACATTAGTGAGTAGACGAGTTGATGTTGGCGCTTTGTCTATTGCCAAAATGGGTACAGAGGACATGACTGTCCTGTTTGGAAAAACAATGAGTTAACTGTATGCACCAGCAACAGGCCTGAAATCTAGACAGTATTGTCTACCCTCCAGAATTGGCAGAGGCTAATGCAGATAAGACACCATGGTTACAACAGTGACAGCTCTCGGAGGATCTTCCCGCTACCTGTTGCTTAAAGAGGAATTCCGGATATGGCTATTTTATACATAGTTACTTGGTCCAGCTTGGACCCATGTAACTCTGTATCTACCTTACCTGGTCGATACCCCTGGAAATCACTGAAGGAGATACCATGTGTGATCTCCACATGGTTCCAGGTCCCGTGATGAACAGCTATCCTCCTGCCTTCTGAACACAGTAGGTCGGCCGTTCAGCACAGTGACATCACATTCTCCTTCTCCTCGTGCAACCGAGGATGCTTTGCATTCACTCAGAAAATGCAAAGCATCCTCTGAATGGCACCTTTGCTGAGTGACCGACCTTTTTCGCTTCTAGGCCCAAGCAGCTCACCAAGGCTCTGGTTTCTTCAAGTGGAGAAGTGGACTCCTTCCTGGTCCTACCTCTTTCTCAGTCTTTCAGCTTCCTTCTTTTTTTTTTTTTTTTTTTTCTTCCTAGACACACTTTTAGTTTGAGAGGATTTTATATTACTGTAGAGTTCTTTGTTTTGAATCGGGTGTCTGGCTCTGCACTGTTCGTAACTTGCTTCCAGCTCTCTTCTGGCTGTAGGTTCCATTCCAGTGCTAGATTATAACTGGTCGGGGGGGGTGCATGTGGCAGGTACTGTCCTGTTTATTTCCCCTAGAAACCAGGACACACAAAAATTAGGTCTAAGGGAAAAATAGTCTAGTCTTAGTCTATATCATTTTTTTGTTTTCCTCGTACTCTCCATCAGCCTTTCTCGACTCTTTTAACATGGAGGAGCCCTTGAAATAACTTTAGTTCTCAGCGAACCCCTACTAATAGTATTTACAGCTCACTGCATTAGAATAAACAGGAGATTGTGATAAAGAATAGATAATGTAGCGCGCTCAGCGTTTTTGAAACCCAGGGCTTCTCTATACAGCAAAGTTAATTTCAGTAACAACAGACTGCAACTAATAATGGCCAGAAAATGCAGAGTGATTAATAGTGTTTTCTCACATTAGTGGAGAAATGCCTGCATACTGTGATGTATGTATGATGCAACAATCATAAAACATAAAACATCAGAGTGCAGCGCTTAAAAAAGTAAATGTGTGATTCCCAATAATAAAAAGTCAATAAAGCATCTACGGTTGTTTCACTGGAGTAATGCAAACTTCCACGATCTTTACACCCTCAAATGACAAATGCGCACTCACCGGAAACGCATGGATTATGCGCATATATAATCAAGCATCCCAGGTGATAGGAACATCAAAGGTTAGGCAGCAGGCATTTCCCTCATCGGTGGGTCATCACAGACTCTTTAAGCAGATCCAGTGGTCTTCCCTTAAGGTCAGCCAGGTGCTTCATACAAAATTCCTCTTAGGGTGGCAAAGTGCTTCCTCTGTGGGGATGATAGCTCCACATGGGAGCCCCAGAAAATAGATGCCAGAGATAGTGTAGTACTATCCCAAACATTTTTTTTTTATTCATAAAGAACACAACAGGGCAGTATGTATTGTCAATTTAACATGTGAAGTGACGTCACGCTCTGGCGGTGAAGTGACGTCACGCTCTGCACAGCTCCTCCTTAGGCCTTTCGTGCTACAGGCACATCATCAGAGGGGAGATTGTACCAGTGAAACACCGTGGATGCTTTATTTACTTTTTATTATTGGGAATCACACATTTACTTTTTTAAGCGCTGCACTCTGATGTTTTATGGTTATATTGTTATTTTAGAGGTATTTTGGTTGCCTGAAGTGTTTAGCTGCTGTATTTATAAAGATGCGCTCACTATCTTTTATGCTGATGATGTAACAATGCCCTCTTAGCGTCTGTAGTCAGTGAAGTGACCATCAGGGCTAATTCTCATTTCATCGCAGCGCCCCGCACCGAATCACATGGAACTGTACAGCAGCACAGCACATCGCGCTGCTGTACAAAAAATGTCCCTTGTGCTGACAGTTGGTTAAATTGCCCCTTGCATTGGTGGTCAGTGATTATTACAAAAATGCTGAAAGGTCTAGGGGATAAAACCTATCAAGAGCGACTTCAGGAACTTAACATGTACAGTCTGGAGGAAAGAGGGCAAATAGGAGACATGATTGAAACCTTTTATCTACATCAAAAGGGTAAATATGGTTCAGGAGGGCAGTATTGTCAACACGAAACCATAATCAAGAGCATGGGGGCATAACTGGAGGAAAGTTCAAAACTAATCTCAAAGTACGGTTTTACTGAAAGAGTAGTAGTTGATTGGAGTAAACTTCCAGCAGAGGTAGTGACCCAGTCAACAGTCAATGGCTTCAAACATGCTTGGGACAAGCATAGATCTATACTCGGACCAAAAAGTCAACAACCCCAAAAAAAAAAAAAAAAAAAAAAGGGAGAGACGCGATGGACCACTTGATCTTTTTCTGCTGTCACTTTTATTGTTCAAACGTTTTATTGTTTTCAAGGGGAGGGAACATAGGCATGGGACAATCCACAAACATTTGTACAATGCAATTTGTGAATACAGATATGGCGTCCAAATAAGGGAGGGGAGAAAGGCACCAAAATACAAAACGTTGCAGGTTAGATGACCGAGAGAAGGTATAGTTGTATGCTTGACGTCACTTTTCTATGTTTCTATATTGCTCCTTATCTTGTTAATGGTTAAAGATACAGATAGCTGAAAGAAATTTGCTGTCAGTGGTTACTTATGTGAAAAGCAAATGTTGCTCTTTGCTTAAAGAACCCTTAGTAACTTCCAGAGGAACCCTGGACTGCTCTAGGGCAAGAATCTGGTTGCTTGGACTGTGTCCAATTGTTAAAGTGTCAGAAGGAACAAATGTCTAAGTCCTTTTAGATGGTTTCGCAAATTTGAGCAATGCAAACTGAGCATTTCACGATAAATAAATTATAAGTTAACTTCTATAAAAACTGCATATCAAAGCAATCGGTAGACTCTGACCTTTTCTTGCAAAAATTTGTTCTTAGCCTTGCCCCTTTTTGCCCTTCAGGCTTCCCTTAGTCCCTATATTTGATTGACCGCTTTACTGAATGGTGACTGACATGGAAAGGGGACAAGCCCAAATCCTTAGTGGTGTTGTAAAGGTGAAAGATTTTTAACCTTAATGTATTCTCTGCATTAAGGTAAAAAAAAACCTTTTTAATAGTAGCTCCCCTTAAATACTTACCTGAGACCGGTCTCGATCCAGCGCTGTGCACGTCTGTAGCAGCTCCTCTCCCTTCACCCCTGTCTCATAGGCTTGTCTAAGAGCAGAGGGAGCTAATGGCTCCTGCTGCTGTCAGTCAAAATCTGTGATGAGAGAACGGAAATGACCTAGGTATGTCTGAATAGACGCAAACAGCCCGGCTCAGGATCAAGCACACGCACGTGCCCCCATAATAAGCAGCTTCCTATGGGGGCACTCAGCAGGGGGGAGGAGCTAGGAGTGCCATTGAAGAACCCCAGAAATGGAGGTTCAGGGTTCCTCTGTGCAAAACCATTGCACAAAGCAGGCAAGTAGAACATGTTAATCTTAATAAAATAAAGCTTTACTGTCACTTTAAGGAAAAGTTATAATTGGGACACTTTCACCTGTCTAAGCTGGGCAGAGTGAAGGTGCCTCCTGATAGCCCCACTCTGTGTCCATAGTCCACTTTGGGTGAGCTCTGGTGTTACATTGAACATATGAGGTTACAGCATGCAGAATAAAGGCCTAGCTTTCATTTGTTTCTTATTGCCTGAGAAACAGAAGAGACTTATGATGTGCAAAGGCGTCAGGAAGTGGGTTTGACTGCTCAAAAGTCCTACAAACCCATCTTTCAGATGCCACGTGCATACGCTTCATTTGTGCTAAATGTTACAGGAAACCTTTTTCACATTTTATTTTTGAGTAACCTCTTGCTCCTCACCGCATATATGTGGCAGCAGAGAGGGTGGACTTTAACGCCCACACGCTCCCAACACAGTGACCAGGCTGTCATAGAGGACCATCAATCTCTAGTGGTGTTTCTGAGCTGGCAAAATGGGCTCTCAATCAGGTGACCACTGTAAGCCAATCAGTGGTCATATGATCAGGCAGTCCCTCCCCCACCCCTTGAGTTTAAAGATCCATTTACAGGCCACAGGGTGGGACAGGAAAGGGGTAAGATTATGTAAAAAAGCCTGGGCAATAGAAAACATATTCAGTACCTCACTGCTATACATACATCTTTCCACATTTTGGTCTCTCTAACCACTTGAAGACCAGGCCTATTCTGACACTTTTTGTTTACATGTAAATATCTGTATTTTTTTTCCCCCAGAAAATTACTTTTATCCCCCAAACATTATATTTTTTTTCTGTGTCAGTCGTTTTTATTAAATTTCAAGTAAAAAAAAATAAACAATATAAGGTAACAATATCATATACTGTGCTCAGCCCCCAGGGAAGCATACATAATATTGGTGACATCAGGAAAAGACTAAGTAGGGGTCCCATATCATAGTCCAGCAATGGGTAAGAAGAACGGTGTTGATGGAGCCAACAACTGGGGAGTCCACTATTGTGGTGGATGGCAGTCCAAACTTTAAAACAAAACTATGCAATGAGTGCCATTGAATGCTATCTGGCAGCAGGACCCAGCTGGAGGGTCAGGCAAGAATACACCTGACGTTCGCCTGCCCATCCACTGGGCCAGACAAGCAATAATGCTTCACACGCTTGCTTTAGCATAGGTGACGGTCAAGGTGTGCCTCCCCCCCACCCCCCTTCTAGTGCCTGTGTCCCTTCACCCCCCTGCCCC